ACACACACACACACACACACACACACACACACAATATTGCCCTATGACTAGTTTGCCATCCAGTGGTTGGACAGTGTCTAGTACAATATTTCTGTATTTCCATTACTTTACATAAAAGGTACTCCATGCTTTCATTTTGACCACACATTCATCACAACCAGGTTAACACACAGTGACACAGGCTAATATACTGTACATGTGACAGTGACAACAGTAATCAAACAAACACATACAGGATACTGATAGATATTATATACTAGTAGTATTCCAAATATAATAATACTATATATCTCAGAAGAATCCAACACAATTTGTCCAAACATGTTTGTGCAGTTAATTGTAATGGGAATCGAGTTAGCATTAGTTGTAATGTAATCTTTTAATAATTATAACACTGACACAAAATAAACATGTAGTGTGAAAAGGAAAATAAAGTTTCCATGGACACCTACAACTATTAACATCTCATACTTACATTCTTAATTTAACAGGGAACCTTTGCATCACTCTTGTTGCCAGTGAAAACATCTAACAGAACACTGACAATTCCTTTTCTGATAAACATCTATTTGTCTGTGACATAGACCCACGTATGCAAAGTGATCCACATCTGCTGTCTCAAAAAAGGACTTTCTAAAACTAGAACAACCTTTTACACATCACATAAAGGAAACTAAAACAGACAAAATATCATTTACTCTGACTCCAAAACATCTTTGTCAGTATACCACATTAAAGAAAGTTAATGTTGACAAAAAAAGGATAAATGCAAAATGATGTGCATGATAGTATTTGAAATTTGCATCATGGGTACAGAGATATTCTCCAGTATTAAGTTCATTTAGTTCATTTAGTTCATTCAGTTACATTTATCCTAAGAATCCCCAAATAAGCTACATATTACTGCATCGTGTCCATAAAGTTAATATAAAAAAACATCCTTTGTCAATAAAAATCTGTCACACAGAACAATGTAAAGAGGAAAAGTTCAAATTGAACCTATACAAAAACAAACCTCAAAAGAGCCCATTATCAGTTTCTTATCACTTGTGCTGCAGAAATCATAAAAGCACTTTCAATGTCTGACTTATTCTCGAGCCAAGTGCAACGGAGAACAAAGCTAAAGTAGCATTTCAATAAATTACATTCTGATCCTGCATCGATTTACCAATAACTGTGTGTAACGATATGTGTCAGCTAGTGGTAAATTATAATGAATTAGTTACACACTATTGTTTGTCGTGGTTATAATGTAAATAGAACTTTAACATATTTAGATGCAGTTATAATTAAGTTAAAAGCTTATATAAACCATGTTGAATCAACCTCACTGCCAACCAGTATTCAGGTAACCATGTCGTTAACAGGTGGAATGTAACTATAACTATAACTATAAGTTATTTTACTCGAGTACTGTGCTCAAGTACAAATTTAAGGTATTTGTTGCTTAAATACTACATTTCGTCATTATGATACCTTATATTATTAAAAAATATTTTGTTTTTACCCCAAAATTCAATGCCAACTATTTTTTATTAAAATTGTGTCATTGTTCATTCTATAATGCCGATTTTGTCAGTTGCAGATGTGAGAATTTACTGCTTTTACGTTTAATAATGTTTGGAATAATTTTTAGAATAATTCTTAGATTTGGACAATGGTATTGTGGTATTTGTGATGTTTTCTAAATTGGAAAAAACAATTAATCAATTAGCAAAATAACAGGGAAATTAATACATGATGACAATCATTATTAGTTGCAGCCTTATATGCAATTATTAAAAATCAACTTAACCTCAACAAACTACTTACACCTTAATTCATAATCTAAAAATTACATCATATAAAAGCATATCAGTCATAGGGGCTTTTAACACTTAAAGTACACTTTCTTGATTGTACTTATATACCTGTACCTAAGTAGCAATTTAATGCAGTAGTACTTTTAATAAAAGTTCTGAGAACTTATTCCACTGATGTTTTAGATATCATTGGTTGGACTGGTTTGGACTTCTCTGCCAGAAGGTGACCAGATAGGGAGGACATTTGAGAACGCTGTCCCCCAGGACGTCTTCCTGGGTGCTGACCCTGACACAGAACGATGTCTCTGACTCCCCTGTGCTGAAGTGCTCTGTGACGTCGTAACGCAGGCCGCAGTTCTCTGCGACTGTGGTGGGGCTGCTGTGTAGGTGCAGTTTGGTGGCAATGGGGGCAGTGACTTTGACTTCCAGCTGCTCGTGTCCAACAGCAGATATATCCACGGGCAGCACCACATAGGCACGCTGAAAGCTCTCCCCAAGGGTGCACTTGAGCTCCTTAGACCAGCAGTATTCCCCGAGGTCTCCTGGGAAGAGATGATATACAGTGTGAAGGCCTACACGCAGCAGATCCTTACATATACAGACTAACAAAACACAGGCCAATGTCAGTCAGTCACTGACATAAGAGAATGAACCATTTTAATGTCTCAACACTGAGTGCTGGTTATTTTTAGAACAGGTTTATTTTAAGAGATTTTATTTTGCAGCAAACCTTCAATGAAAATGTCTCCTTACCTTCTGTGGAGTCTTTAAGCCGTATGTTGTGATTGTCCTGAAGTTGCACTTTTTTGTAGTATATCATCCCGGTGCACTCCAATAAACAGTTGGTCAGCTGTGTCACCACGCTGGAGCTCGGTCTTGGTCTCAGTCTCAGCTGTGTGTCCGTCTCTGAACATTGGACTGCCCGCACACTCAGCAGAAGTGTGGACATAACACCGACACACATCCACACAGTGAGATATTTTGACATTTTGTCTGCTGGCAATTCTGAGCTCCAGGCCCAAATCCTGTTGTCCTTGCTTAGATCTGTTGTTTTTTCCGTAATCTGGGATCAATTTCTTGCTTGCACGACTTGAGAATCATTAGTTAGGGCTCCACTGCAGCCAGGGGGAGATTTATAAATGTCCAGAGTACAAACGCACACACAGCAACTGAAGAATGTTGAAGGCTTGTCAAAAGTGCGCAACATGTTTCTCTTCCCCTGAACAACGCCTGGTTTTCAGTGCCAACATTTTCTCCTCTGCGATATCCCTCCCTCTGGACTTGACATATAACCGTCAGCCAGGCATGAAATCCCAAATTACTGTCATAAGGAAATGATTGCACAAAAACTCAAAATAAAGCTGGAAACCAAGAAAAAAAGTCTGTTGATTTCAAAATTTATTCATTTAATCAAAAAATGCGAGAGAGAAATCACTGACTTTGTGCAAATGATTAAGATGATAAATCAGTGGCATAAGCACAATAAAACATTTTGCATTCGATCTAAGTGAAATGATTAAGTATAGGTGACGTAGCAGCTCACTCATATAAAAAAAACAATACTTGAAAAAGTGATGAGGTGAGGTAACTTGGTGAAGTGAGTGGGAGAATACAAGCAAACAACTGAGAACTATAACCAATAACCATGAGAAGTGAGCCGTTAAAAACTGTATATAAAATTGTGTTAAATTTGAATTACACTTTTGAGTATCATTGTTTTTCCAAATTACAGATCATAGTAAAGCAATACAATGTGAAAAATTGAAATGCATTTTTTACACTTTGTTGTAATTATCATTATTAAATTCAGATTTTTCTTTGCTCACAACATGATACAAAACAACTTTGTTTTGTTGTAAAAAAAAAAAGTACGATAATAATGTGTTAATTGTCACAGTATTTCTTGGAGGGGGCAGCATTGTCCTCTTTATCTTTTCTGCAGAAACAGGAAGATAGAACAAGGCAAATGGAAGTTTGTGGAAAAGTACAAAACAGCTGTAAATCATTCACCCAGACTTTTAGGAGACAATCTTCTCTTGTTAATCTCTTTGCAAAATGACTAAGCCTCAAAATTACGAGCCTGTATTTTATTTAGCACTTTTAACTCTTTTCGGCCTGTCAGGATTAAATGGAATTGTTTTCCATGAGAGGAAAACAGATCAGAGAGAGGATTTGGCTCCGGACCATCTCAGATTTTTGAAGGGAACACTTGGTGACAGTTAGCAACTATAAATAGCTCTGTGGACTCATGACCTGTATAAAAAGATAAACTGGTGTCAGCTGCATTTCACACCACTGTTTCTAACTTGTTGCAAGAGAAATACTTGGATTCATCGACAGAAATGCTCTTTTTTATTGACATGCAAAGTCTAACTGGTAACTAGTTTAAAAACAGTATCACATAAACATAGATTGTAATTTGAAAACAGTGATCAAGCTCAATAGTTCCATTCTCTCACCACTGCCATTAAAAGAGCATATAATTGTGATACATATTGTGGTCAAATGACTCAACAAATCTGTGCTACCCCTTGTATCCTTCTTTTCTGGCAACAGCAGAGAAACAGGAATGCAAAACCTAGGTTCCCACGCTCATTGTTGAAAGAGCAACATAAGTGTTTGTTAGAGAAGACAGGCCTGCACGTAGAGGTATTATCTACTTCTAAATCTCTGCATATTTTGTTTACGTGCCAAGTGGCTCACAGATGATACAGGAAACCAATTTTACTCTCTGTTGGCCTGCTTGACATCTCCGGGTCCACAGCCGCAGCTGCGGGTCAGCTGCACGGAGGAAATGATGACTGTGCTGGACTCATCCACGTAGACGACGGGCACCATTTCCTGGGAGCTGGGCTGACAACATGGCGTCTGGACCTGCAGAACAGACAAAGAGAGGAGGAGGAGTCAGCCATCGTGACATGGTTTGATATATAGAGTGAAGAAACTGTCCAGATATACAGTTTATTTAAGACAATCAATGAAATAAAAGACATTTACTGTAACTTAAAAAAAGAATAA